GTTTCTATCTAAATCCACAATTTCAATTTGGAGTTGAACATTCTGTAAATGTATTTAAGGAAACATTAGAAGGTATAAAAGCAGTTATTGAAAGATTAGAACCTTCGATAGATACTCATATCAGAATGATTAATCAGGTTATTATTTAATACTATTTTATAACTTTAACATTTGTTTTATGTATTAAAAATTAAATTATTTTTTATTTATTCATTTATTATTGTATTTTCAATCGATGTAGTTGTTATTATTTCGAGACAAGCATGAAACATTTGGTAGTCCACAAGCACAAAGAGCTTGAAAGCAAATGAATCCAGGTAAATAGTAAGTTAAATAATTATAATTTATTTATATTATTTAATTGTATAGCCCATTGAAATTTAATTTAAATAATTTTATACAGCTGAGTGGTGGATGATATATGGCACTTGTGTTCCTGAATTACAAAAACTAACAATCAAAGTGCTTAGTCAAACAACATCTGCATCAAATTGTGAACATAATTGGAGCACATTTAGCTATATTCACACCAAAGCAAGAAACAGATTGAAGTTTGAAAGACTCCAGAAACTTGTATATACCTATTATAACATGAGGTTGAGGATGAGACATCATAAAAGAATGAGCATTGATGAAATAAATAATAGTTTTAATCCTATTAGCCTTGATCATATTTTTGAAGATGATGATCCACTAACAGAATGGCTGCAAGAGAAAAAAAATCCTCTATTAGATGGTCAAAACTTTGATTGGTTGCCTGCAGATAATTCTAATAATGAAATGAATGTTAAACGATCACGTCAATCTCAAGAAAGGAATGTGTCTCATTCAAGTTCAAGTCCAACACCAAATCAGAGTGATGATGGTGGTGGTTTAAGTCCAGATGATGATGGTGATGGTGATGGTGCGAATTTTGGTGATAATATGGATGTAAATCGACCTTCCAGCCCACTTAGAGGAGAATTTGGGCTTGCTGCTACTGGTGGACTTTTTATTAATATGGCATAATATGAAGGAAATCTATTTGCTAAATCTAATGAGGGTCAAAATGCACTACAGCTCGATCAAAAGGAAAAGCAAAGAAGCACCACTATGAAATTTCTAGAGGTTCTTCATCTTCAGGTGAGAGACCAAATTCTAGTAACTTTGAGTATAGTGAATCATCTGCTAGTACTCAAAGACATTACTATCCACCAGAACAACATAATTTTCAACCTCCTCATGGTTATCCATCTCCATATGGTTATTATCCACCTCAAATGTATCCTCCACCTCCTCAAATATATCCTCCACCTCAAATGTATCAGTTACCGCAAATGTACCCTTCACCACAAATGTATCATCCTCAAATATATCCTCCACCTCAAATGTATCAAGAACAAAGGTCTCAGGGATGGAGATGGAGTTAACTTGGCTCTTAAAGTGAAGATAGAGAATCTGATCCTCCTCGTCATTCTACCATGTGATAAATTTGAAATATGTATCAATAATTGTAGTTGATGGAATTTGAATTTATTATATTTTTAAGTTTGTAATTTTATTAAATTAAATGCTTGGTATTTAACATATTATGTTTTGTTAATATTTGATTTGTCTAGAATTAATATTGAATATGAACTTGGCCAAGAAAAATTTTATGGATAAACCAAATATGAATGCTTTTTATAATCTAAATAAAATTGTGAATAATATTTTTAAAAAATAAAAAACATAGAGTGTCATAAACTATTTTTAAAATCATTGAATAAGAGTTTTTATAATTATAATTATTACATTTTATAATAAATTGTGCAAAAAAAAAATTTCACGACCGTGATGACTGCAGTGACCGCAATTATCTCTGTTATATCCGAAAACGTGACAAATGCTACGCAACCGAAAACGTGACTGCGACCGCTATTTAAATCCCTGATGATGAGTTTGACAATGCAGCAACCACCATAATGAACCACTCTCCAAAAGCATGGGATCACATGCATTTTAAAGATATTATAGCCAAAGTTGCAAGTGTTGAACTCTATTAGAAGGCTGTGCATTTCTACTTGCAAGAATATCCTGATCTTATCAATGATGTTCTTAATTTACTTGCCCTGTGTGTTGACCATGCACGTGTTGTGGATATAATGAGGAAGGTACGTGCATCTCTTAGGATGTTAGGGGTTGCCTCGTGCTGTTCTTTGTAAATTTTTTATCCTCTTCTCTTCTTTTTAGAGAAAAATAATGCATGGAGAGAGTTCTGCCCATTATAATTTATTTATGCTTGCAATTCATTTAGTTTCAGGCTGGTCACCTGCATCTTGTTAAGCCACATATGGTTGCTGTTCAGAGCAACAATGTAGCTGCTGTGAATGAAGCTCTGAACGAGATTCATGTAGAGGAGGAGGATTATGACAGGCTTCATGAATCTATAGGTCTGCATGATAACTTAGATCAGATAGGCCTTGCTCAGAAGGTGAGAGGTTCTACCTTAGTTATTTTGTGTGTTGTGTTAAACTTTAGTTGTTTTAAAGTACCAAGGTTGGGATTGTTTTACAAGTGAGAATGGTTTGTATGAGCAGATTTGAGAAGCACGAACTTCTTGAGATGAGGCATGTTGCTGCTTATATATATAAGAAGGCAGGGAGATGGAAGCAGTCTATTGCATTGTCAAAGAAGGACAATCACTACAGAGATGCCTTGGAAACGTGTTCACAGTCTGGTGATTGGGAACTTGCAGAGGAATTGCTTGTCTATTTCATTGAGCAGGTATTTTTTCTATTCTTTTTTTTTTTCATGCATACGTGTGCTAGACAGGCCTACTTTTACCTATTTTTTCTGTTTGTCTTATATAGGAAATTACTAAAGTTGAGTCCACTCACTAATCTAAATTTTCATCTCGTCTAATGTAGGGAAAGAAAGAGTGTTTTGTGGCGTGGCTCTTTGTTTGTTATAACGTAATCAGGCCAGCTGTTGCTCTTGAGCTTGCCTGGGCGAATAATATGATTGATTTTGCCTTTCCATATCTTTTGCAGGTGATTTCCGCCCTGTCACTAGTTCTAATTGTTAGTTGAGTTTTGAAGTCGTTATCCTCAAACTTTTTGCTTGGTTCTTTTTCTGGGCTTTTTCTCCCCAATAAAGTATATACGGAGTACACAGGCAAAGTGGACGAACTTATGCAGGATAAAATTGAAGCTATGAATGAGGTGAAGGCCAAACAGGAGGAGGAGAAAGACATGGTTGCTCAGCAGGTAAAGCTATATGCAAAATCTCTTCGATTTCTTGCCTACAAATTTTTCTCAAATTTTTCTCAGGGAGAAAGAGGGATAGGGATGGAGTGGTGTGTTTCCTCCTTGTGGAACAGTTATATCTTTTCTTCATGCTACAAAGTAGGAGATTTTGAAAGAACTGCAAAACTCTTGGGTGCTTTTAGGTGTCACTACTCACTTTTACTGGTGGTCAAGAACTAATTAACTGTTTTCATTGTCATGTGCTTGGTCACACAGAAACTATCCGTCATGTCTAACGATGTCAATTAAACCTTGAATAAGAACTTAGGAAGAAAACCAACTAATGGTCATTATTGGCTTCTTGATAGCTGATATGAGGCGATGCTGCCTTGGCAAGGAGAAAAGAAAGTAGGTACTTCAATCAGTCATCACTGCAAATGGGCTAGAAACTCTTGTTATTTTCCTGCCATATAAAGAATTTAGCAATTCAGATTAGTGTGATCACTCGAATGCTGTTAGAAGCACAATGAGCAGTCTATATTGTTTTCTAAAATGCGTTGGATGCGCTTATTTTCAAAAAGGCAATTAAACTGCATATACTACATGGTTTCTTATTAATATTATTATAACTTTTACTATACACTTGAGGTGCCTGTAATGGACGCCAATCTTCTTTCCTAAGAACTAATACCCATGTTTTTGGGTCACCTGCAGAATACGTATGCCCAGTTGCTGCCTCTTGCTTTACCTGCGCCACCAATACCTGGAATGGGTGGAAGTTTTGCTCCATCACCTCCAATGAGTGGGATGGGGATGCCTCCAATGGCCCCATATGGCATGCCACCAATGGGTTGCTATTGATATCTTAGGAAACTACGATACACAAGCAAGGAACTTGTCAACTTCTACAAGGTTGAATCTCCCAAGTGCCCACAATTTCCAGTTTACATTTGAATGTGAAATTGATCTGCACAGTGGCTGTGAAATATTGAGGTGATAGCTTGCGTTCTTTGGTAATGCATCTGGTAATGAGCGGTGGTGATTATTTAGTGCCCAATTAATGCAGCTTTACCCCATAGTCGAGAACGTTAGCAGTTAGGTTTTTGACAACAGTTTATGCAGCCTAGTGGTGACTGAACAAATTCCATGGAGCTGTGGCAAGTCCGCGGCATGTGTAGGTTATTCTAGCTTAATCATTCACTATACAAATTTATATTTAGTTAATTGCTCCGACATATAGTTGCTTTGTTCTAAGAGTCCGAAATTTTATACTTGCTGTCTTTCCTTCTTTATTGTGTAACAGTTTTAACAAATGAATTATTTTTAATCTTCTGTTTTACTGCATTTCTTAAAATTTATTTTTAAATTCGTTCAAATTCTGTTTTGTTTGATATGTATTATGATTTTTGTACATTTCGAGAAATTACTCTAAACAGTTGATAAATAATGCTTGATCTAAATGAATTATGTTTGAGATGTTGTAGAGTCGAAAATATCTTTACCACTTGTGTTAAAACATTAGTGCAAGTTGAGTAAATATTTTGGTTGAATATCAGTTAAACAACTCAATTTAGAGTAAAGATGATTAAATGTAATATTGCAAATCTAGTACCAAAGGACAAAAAATGATTTGATAATATGCTTAAATAACATTATATTTATTGAGTTAGATTCGGTGTTTTTTCTTCCTCAATGGAAACCTTGTTTTATTAAAAAAAAAAAAAAAGAAAAATGAAAAGAGCCGTGCAATGATATCTCAAATTGCCCCTTAGCTGGCAAAAGGCTATTCCGCGATAGAACAAGCCGCCCCACCACCCAAACGCTCTTCTTGGCCTTAAACATTCTGCACGCTTAATTTCAACGCCTTCCCACAATCACAAACAAACAATTTCTTCCTCTCTCACACTCCCACAACTTCCATTCCTCTTTTATATAAAAATTCTAGACCCCAAATATTTTCCACCATTAACAAACCAAACGCCTCACTCTCAAAAAACAATTATGGCAAGCAAAGAGCCCGATCACGAGCCCAGAGAAGACGAGGAAGCCCCCGTTGCCGAGGATGAAGACACCGGAGCTCAAGTCGCCCCTATCGTCAAGCTCGATGAAGTTGCTGTCAGCACCGGCGAGGAAAACGAAGATCCAATGCTCGATCTGTCTGTACTTTCAGTTTTTTATATTTCCGATTCAAATTTTCTCCGATTTATCTACAAATTCGAATGATCTGAATATCTATTATTTTTATTTTATTTGTTAGGAAGTCGAAGCTGTACCGATTTGATAAAGACGGGAATCAATGGAAAGAGAGAGGCGTTGGTACTGTGAAGCTGTTGAAGCACCAAGTGACCGGAAAAGTTCGCCTTGTTATGAGGCAATCTAAGACTCTCAAGATCTGCGCCAATCATCTCGGTTCGTTCTCTTCCTTAACTTTCTTTTCCTCAATCCTATTTCTGCTTCCGTTTTATTTTCTTATTTCATAATTTTATTAAAAAATATTTGTGTAGTGTTGCCGACTATGACGGTGCAGGAGCACTCAGGGAACGACAAATCGTGCTTATGGCGCGCTTCTGACTTTGCAGATGGTGAGCTGAAAGATGAACTTTTCTGCATTCGTTTTGCGTCTGTGGAAAGTAAGTATATTTTACGTTAAATCACTTTGCTTCCTTTTATTTGCTAAATGAAATTGAATCAATGTTGTTTCAATTCTTTATTTAGTCTAAGATCTGGAGCCGCCAATTAGAGTTTAGTAACCAACAGAATGTTTGAGAGTTGAGCATTGGTATTTTCTTCAAGTTGTTAGTGACTGGCATTTCGGTTAATAGTTGTAATATTTACCAAATTTTGGTTCTCTTATTGACTTTATGAATGTTTGGTTGTACATAATTCAAAGGTTTATGCTTGTGCTGGTGTCAGTTTCAAATAAGTATTTGGTGTAAATAATGGGTTGCATTGCAATTTTACAAATTTCTGACATGAAGTGAGAAACTGTGTTTACTTTTATTAACATCGATCAAAGCATATGAGGCAGATTCTTGCTGATTTTTCCCTTTAATGATGTGATATAGGTGTTTTACGAAATAGAATAATAGTTATTTTAGATGGTTTTGTTTGTGTTTATATATGGCTGCAATGGTTTATCAAAAATTTCCTTTTGTTCCTTTATGGGCGGTTCTGTTCTCCTCCTTTAGTGGTTAGTGAAAAAAACTGCAAATAACAGAATATATGAAGAAATAAGAAATATTAGTAATAATAACTGTTACACCTAAATGTTGATTAATGCTATAAGCCTGTTTCCTTCAAAGTTGATGTGAATGTCAGTTTTTCACATTACTCAGGTAGCCCAAGTTGAGTTTGAATTGTACTTCAGCAAATTTTTTAATGGATAGAGTTAGGGATTTCCATGATGGCAATTTGAACTATCTTCACATGTTAGCGTTAGTGTTTTTCTTGGGTTTGATATTTCTTTGCTTGGAAAACTAATAAGATAGTATAAAGTTAAATTTAATTTCATAATGATGACAAAATGTCATTTAAATAAGAAAGGTATCCTAGGATGTTCAATTGAAGAAATTTTAAAATTAAATGTTATTGCTTGTGTACTAGCAATATGCTTTGAATTATTGAATATTTTTAATTCCTAAGTACTTGGTGTAATTTTGTATAATGGTATCCTTCGGCTGAATTTATAAGTCTTTTAGGCAAAGTTAATAGAAATAGTTGCATATATGATCTGGACTCTTTAATGTAATAACTATATCTGAGAGCTTGATATGTCATGATACATGTTTCATTGAAGTTTTATAGTTGGCTTTATTATTTCTTTTGTGAACAACAATAAAAATGTGTTATGAGAATAACAGAAACAGTTAATATAGATGGGTTTACATTGTGGTTATAGATGGCTACATATGTTCTTTGCAATTTGCCTTCTTTTTCCCTTTATTTGACAGTTCTCATTTTCCTTTTGGGGAACAAAGCCTTCTAGTTTTTACTGATTTTCCTTTTTCTTAAAATTAGATTGCAAAGCCTTTGTGGAAATGTTCCAAGAAGTTGCTAAGTCACAAAAACTGAAAGAGGAAAATGAAGATGGATCTGCTGCTGCTGGACTACTTGAGAAGTTGAGCATTGAGGAAAAGAAAATTGAGGGTAAAGCTCAAGAGGAGAAGGCTGTTGCAGCGAAGGAAGAAACTGAGGGCAGTCAAGATGTGCGTGTTCATAATGCTTTGGGTAAAATTATCCCAAAAAATTCATCATCAATGGTGAAGGATCAATCACCTTCCGTTTCAGAAGCCGTGCACAAGATTCAACTCCACCTACTCGACGGAATAGAAGACGAGAAACAACTATTGGCCTCCGGTTCCCTTATTTCTCGAAGCGACTACGAAGATGTCGTAACGGAGAGGTCAATTTCCAACATTTGCGGTTACCCTCTGTGCCGAAACCCCTTACTGTCCAAACCTCATCGAAAAGGCCGTTACCGAATCTCTTTAAAAGAACATAGAGTTTACGATTTACAAGAAACTAACATGTTTTGCTTCACCGATTGCCTAATTAATAGCCGGGCTTTCGCTGGTAGTTTACAAGAAGAGAGGTGTTCGGTTTTGAATCATGAAAAACTTAATGAGATTTTGAGTTTGTTTGGGGACTTAGATTTGGATGATGAGGGTTTGGGGAAGAATGGGGATTTAGGGTTTTCGAATTTGAGGATTAAAGAGAAGGGGGAAATAAAAGCGGGGGAAGTTTTGTTAGTGGGTCCTTCCAATGCTATTGAAGGCTATGTTCCACAAAGAGAGTTGATTTCCAAGCCTTCACCTTCAAAAATTAGCAAAAATGAAGGTGAGAACTTTTTTTTCCCAATTATTCAAGTTATTATTTATAGAATCACTTAATTATGTTTAGTTTAAAAAACATTAAATTTTTATTGCAGTGTTTGCCTCTAGTATTTCCAAGCTGGGTAATAGCAAAGGAGATTTTTTTGTTAATAATGAGATTGACTTTACTAGTGCTACGATCATGAACAATGAGTATACCATTTCCAAGAATACCAGTAGTTTTACACAGAGCCAAAGAATGAAGCTGGGTAGTACAAAAGAATATTTTGTTACTAATGAGATGGATTTTAATTGTGAAATAATCATGAATGATCAGTATACTGTTTTGAAGACACCCTCAGGGTCAAGACATAGTTGTTTTGGTTCAAAAGTGAAAGAAATGGAAGGAAAAGGAATTTGTAAAGACTTTGAGGAAAAATGTCTGATGTCAGGATCCTCATCTGCTTTGAGGGAAAAGGATTCTAGCATTGTAGAATTGCCTCCAACAAGAAACATCTACCAGAGTGGTCTGGATACAAGTGCTGAAGCAAAGAAGGAAGCCCATGCTAATAAGGCAGCAACATCAAGTGAGACTGTACTTAAATCCTCTCTTAAATCTGCAGGAGCAAAGAAACTTAATCTCTCTATTACTTGGGCTGATAATAAGAAAGTTGACAATGCTCTTAATGGCAACCTTTATGAAGTTAAAGAAATGGATACGCTGAAAGGAGATCCTGAAATATGTGGCAGTGCAGAAGATGGTGATGACGAAAATATGTTGCGATTTGTATCAGCAGAAGCTTGTTTGGCATTGAGCAAGGCAGCAGAAGCTGTGGCATTTGGAGATTCTGATGTCACTGATGCTGGTAGGATTTTGTGTGCTTTCATTGAATTTTGTATAGTTTGAATGCTGTATTCAGTGACCTTAACCCCATTTTGTTGCAAAAAATATGTACAGTTTCTGAAGCTGGGCTTATCATATTGCCATGTCCAAGTGAGGCAGAAAAGAAGGAGCCTGTGAAGGATGTTGATGTGCTTGAACCAGAAACAGCCCCTGTAAAGTGGCCAACAAAATCTGGGATTCCACGTTCTGATATGTCTGACCCAAAGGACTCATGGTTTGATGCTCCGCCAGAAGGTTTCAGTTTGACTGTAAGTCTCATAGACCTAACATTACCATATTATTTCTCCATTTTTGATAGTGTTAACAACATTGCCATATTATTTCTGCATTTTCTACTTATGTTGATTGCTTCTCTTGCTCTTTTTGATGTCCACCAGCTGTCAACTTTTGCAACCATGTGGAATGCTCTTTTTGAATGGATAACATCATCTTCTTTGGCTTATATCTATGGAAGAGATGAAAGTTTCTCTGAAGAGTACCTAACAGTCAACGGGAGAGAGTATCCACAGAAGATTGTCTTACAAGATGGGTGTTCCTCTAAAATTAAAGATACTCTTGCTGGCTGTATTTCTCGTGCTTTACCTGCTATTGTTACTGATCTCAGACTGCCAATACCAATATCTACTTTGGAGCAAGGATTGGTACTAATTCTGAATTTTGAAATGGTTAATCATATTGAGAAAATTGATGATAATTCGGATTAGGACTTTAAGGACATTGAACTGGTTTATTTGGGAGGTTTATTGTATTGTAAGATCATTTTTCAAGCCATAACTTACTACTTCTGCTTATTAATTAAAGCTCTTTTTACCAAAAAATTTCCTTGCACTTTTCATGTTCTTGAGTTGAGTTGCTTCTGAATGTACTCTAAATGTTCTTTTATATAGTGGCGCCTACTAGACACAATGTCTTTTATGGAAGCGCTTCCAGCATTCAGAATGAAACAGTGGCAAGTAATTATTCTTCTGTTTGTTGATGCTCTTTCTGTATCTAGAATACCTGCCCTCACTGCACACATGACTAATGGGAGGACACTTCTTTATAAGGTGAGGCTCTGAGATTGTAAAGGTAGTCTCTTGGTATTGTTCAATGTAAAAGTATAAGTTGAATTCTTGAAATGTTCAATATAGTAACTAAAGCTTGATATGTATGATGACTGCTTAGGTGGTTGACACATGAAAAACAAGAGTTTTTGTGATATCATGATATATATGATGACTGCTGTCTTTGTTGGTTGCAAATAGGTGTTGGATGGTGCCCAATTAAGTATGGAAGAATATGAGGTTATGAAGGATCTCATAATACCACTTGGCCGAGCACCTCATTTCTCTGCACAAAGTGGTGGTTGATGTTATAGTGAAGTCATTACTCCAGCTCTTGCTGATGGTATTTGGATAATGTATATAACTCCCTTATTTTTTTTTTCCTTGGAAGTTGTCAAAAATTATTCCAAGATTCACTTATGGACATCCCAGAACTATAATTAGTTTGTTTTTGTCAATGTATGATGGGAATATGGAAATATGCTAGTTGAAGGATTGAATTCTCTGGTGTTTTTATTTTATGGTTTTCTTTCCCACCCCATTAGCTACCATCACCTTCACTATAAATATAATTTGATGCAAAATCTAGGCACTGATTTCTTCATATATATTCTTTTCTTTTATTGAAATAAGGATTTGAGCTGATATTATTAATTATATATATCAATAGCAGCATTTGCTTGGTTTCTAGCTTACCCCTCAATCTTGTTGAATTTTTTCCCCCGAACCTCCTGTATACTTTGTGTATTGACATTGTTGATCATTTTTTAGTCTCTGATAAGTATTGGATATGCCCCTGACTATTTATTCCTTCTGCAAACAATTTTGAGGACAGATCCACAGGTATTCCGATTTGTTTGCATTTACAATTTTTGGCGATGGTGTGTTTTCTGCTCATATGTTTCAGGTCTTCGTATGGAGTTGACTTTTTGTAGTGTTAGAAACTATCTTAACTTTGGTGCTTGCATAACCTTTTTAATGCCAGGGTGCTGCTAATTTTGCTTTGATGATGTCCCAAATGGAGGGTGGTTGTCCAGTTGATTATAACACAATAACAGATCTATTCCTTCAGGTTTGCTTGGTCTTGCTTTACTTTTGAGTGTTTACATGCACATGTTTAAAGCAAAAGCAATCATGAAAACAATTCAGGCCTTGAAACTAGAGTGAAAGTCTTCACCTTCATTGTTTTCGTTTCAGCATCTTTAAATTTGTTTGAAGGAAAAAATAAGAGATGTACCTTTAAATTTCAGAGGAACTTGATTCGTGAGGCAACTGCTTTTTTGTTGGATGTGCTAAAGCCAAATTTACCAGAACATGGATACCTTCAAATGAAGGTGTGCTTTCTCCTCTCTTCTCCCTTGCTGTAATTTTTATAGCTGTCTTTGATGCCTTTACCATATCAGTTTCTCCTTTTACGATGCACAGATAGAACTTCATCTCTGATCTACTAACAATGTACATTCCAATTTGCAGGTGCCGCTTCATACTATCATAGAAATAAAAATGGGACTAACAGGTGTTCAGGAGAAAAGACATAAGCTCATGGATCGGACACTGGTTCAAGAAATTTGTGTTTCTGGATATTGGATTGTCCAAATATTAAGATGAAATTTTCATTCATTTTATTTCAATTCTTTGTCAAAATAAAATATGCAAGTTTCAGCTCCTGGTATTGTGTAACATGGTGGGCACAATGGCTTGTTTCATAAAATGGTTGTGAAGTTATAGGTTTCTATGGCTACAAATTAATTTTATATATGAAGATTATCCTAGCATTAAAATATGTTTGATCGATTCCTTGATGTATATCTTTTTTTCTTTGTTTTTTTTGTTCTCTTTTTTTTTTTTTTTTGCGCGGGGGGGGGGAGTAGAGGAACATTCAATTTCATCTTTAGTATTTTACTTGCTTGAATTTTTGAGATTTTAATTGTTATTTTATTTACTTTTTATTTCGAATTTTATCTTATGTTAAACGCTCTTAATATAAATATTTTTTTTGAAGTTAGGCTTTTAAAGATATTTTTATTTTGCTCTTAGTATAAAAGATCATTAGTTGGCGATTGTTTTGGAATAAGAAATTTAATAAGTTCAAATTGATAGCAAGTGGATAATTTTTTTTTATGCGAAGGATAAAGAAAAATATTCATTTATTATTTCAAACAAGATAATTTAATTAGAAAAACAAATTATTTCAAAAAATAAATAAATTTTTTTTTGTTATAACCATTAATTATTTTTGCGTGATCGATATTTCATCTTGTTTTCAATTTAAGGTTTTTATGATAATAAAAATTAAGTTGTATTAGATGTCACAAATTTGATTACTCAGTTCATAAAAAAAGCTTATTTTGGTTTCAAATTATTTGACACTTTTGGTAAATAAGGGGGAAAGTTATTAATGTATAAAACAAATTGTCTTAGGCAAGAATAATTTTACTTCTTTTAGTCAATGTACTTTAAGACGTGAAATAAAAGTTACTTAGAGAAAGAAAGTTCAATATTTTTTATGTCTATGGTTATCGAAAGAATTGTGATGATTTAATTATATTGACAAAATTTGACATACATTGAATTACCAATTAAAAATTTGAAAGAGTATTTTGCTTGATTTTCGAAATTTAAACTAAATTTTTAAAATTGACCTCTTTTGTTTATTGCCCAAGAAAAGATTATTATTTTAATATATCAAATGATAACAAGGTTCGCAAGTTAAAGTTCATACCCCTTAAAAGTTTATGACTAGTGAGTAAAGTTATTTTAAAAAGGTTGAAACATAAGAGTAGTCAAGAAAAGGTGAGAAGATATTGGATAAGTTTATTTTTTAAAAGAAATCACCAATTACCTTAAGATTCTCACAATTTAAAAACATATATTTCCCTTTGAAAATGCTTATTCTTTTAAAAAAAAATTTTGATGATCTTGAAAATCGTTTATATAGACTTTATTTTCAAAAAATTACGAATCAATTTATTTGAATTTATATTACACGAGTTAGAAAACAATATTTGGAAATCAACAAAAATCTAAAAATTAAAAGCCATTTTTTTCTCAAGCCATTTCTTTTTTTATGACTTTTAGGAATTAATTCAAATTCAACAAAATTTTTTATTGTTTTGCTATTTTTTTGAAAAAAAAACTTAAAATTTTAAAATTGAAAAGGAATTAAAAATTTCCAATGTCAACAAATTTATGAGATAATATGATGTACCATAACCATTCATTCAATGCAAACATTCAACCTAATTTAAAATTCACATTCTTAATAGTGCTCTTAAAATGATATATAAGCTTAAAAAAAGTCATTTCTTTGGAGTTTCAACTTTAGAATCTTGATCATCAATTCCACCACTATCAATTATCAAAGTCATCGACTAGCTTTTTAAACTTTGCAGGATTTGCATCGATCAAAGATTGAGCCATATCCTTAAAGGCAATGTAATTTTTTATGAAATGTCCTTTGACCCTATCGAGGTATTCACATTTAGTATTGGGATCATATTTTTTTGGGGTATGAAAGCTTTCTAGGCTTTGCAAGGATAGGGAAAATCATATAGCTACTGACAAGTAATGGGAAAAGCTTTGTGTAGGATATTGGAAGCGAATGGTGTGTTTTGACTCTCTTTCTTTTTTGGTTCTATGGCCAACGTTAATTTTTTGTTTTATGAATACTTATGGTGAAGGACTCTAGGAAAGGGACATTTGAACATAAGGATCAAATGGTTAAAAAAAAGTCATTGGCTAGAGGTGTCAAATGGTAAAAAGGTTAGGAAAGTGTGGTGACCAATAACCATCCACCAGATCTTCATGTGTCATGCTAAGATTTTTCTCATTTCACCCTTCAATAGTTATTTCTTAAGCATGTTCACCATAAATACATCCATTTCTTTCATTATAAATCTTTACACTAGCATCCATAATTCTTCTTTTTTGTATCTTACCCTCGATTCTACCCATAGTAAATAGTAAATCTACAAATTCTAAAAAGGCATTACCGATCATCCTATCATAATAAGAAAAAGGAAGAGTATCCATAAATAGGGAATTCAGCTCCCTATTAGTGAGGGATGGTCGTATTTGTGATGCTACCTTTTTTCATATAATAGCATATTCTTTGTAACTTTCATTGAGGCTCTTTTTTATGTTTTGAAGGGTTAATCGGTATGGATTATTTCTAACATGTGTTGATATTGCTTTAAAATTGTTGAAGATAAGTCCTTTTAAGTATGAACTGACCTATTTTCAAATTATAGTACCAGTTAGTAGCTATCCCCATCAAACTTTCTTGAAAGATGTGAATAAGTAATTATTCATTATAGGCATACCCAACAATTTTGTTATAGTATCAAGTCAAATGTATCTTAGGGCATCTGTTTCCATCATATTTCTCAAGTATCGAAACCTTGAACTTTACAAGATTACCAAGTCAGAAACTAAGCTAAGCTTATTGGCATTAATTTTCTTGAAAACATCATTTCATTCTACCACCCTAAGTCTCTTTTTCAACTCATTGTACTTGCTTTTAAACTCGATATTCTCGATCAGTTCTAGCATTCCTTTCAGCTTCTTATGTTCTTTAGGATCATCCAAGTTGGGTATTGTGATGGAATCATAATAGGTAGCCTTGGGATTGACATATATATGAACCAGAGATGGTCTAGTTTTGGTATAATTAAAAGAGTGGTAATCTACTAGTGGTGCTTATATAGTATGTGGATTTTGAGCATAGGGATGTATGGACCCAAAAGGTACAATAGTTCTTTAACAATAACTCCTTCTCTTGCCTTAGATGTTTCAATAATTGCCTTTTCTTCTAAAAGCCTTGACAATATCAATTTCAAATCCATTAATTGTCTTTTAATATCTTGCCCTATTTTCTTAACTTTTCCTCTCATCTCTTCTTGAGCCTGTTCAATCATTTTTATTCTACTAGTTTAATTTTTCATGTTGTGAACAAAATTAGTGTGAAAAGATGTAGTAAGAAATTAGCACTATTGAACCTTTATTTTTTGAAAGAAACAAGATTAAATTTACTTTTCATGATGATGAATGTGCTTGACATGATCATGGATGCATGAGTGGTGTAAAACATTATCAATATGCATAGATGCTTAGGTGATGAATATTTGTATACATATGATGCTTAAGTAACAAAAATCATACCGCCTATGCAAATGTATATGTAATGGGACGCAACATCATATTACAATGGTGGTGAGATGTGGTCACATGAAATGCAATATGTACAATGCACATTTTATAGAATCATATTATTCATGAATCTACATGAATGACTAATGAAAGGCATGTATATGATTGACAAAACATATTTATATGAGATGCACTAACATATTTTATGCATGGGTTACAATGCATGTATAATACAAATCCAATGAAATTGACACTAACATATAGGTATGAGATGAAGTGCATGTATTACTTTTTATTTTCAAATGCAAAACATGATAAAAATAACCACAAAAAAGATTAAAATAATTGCAAGGGTCAAATTCAAAATCACAACTCTTTCTCTTTTTTTTTTGGTTCTTTCTATGAACACAAATCTTAAACAAATGCTAAAGCAATCAAATAATATACCCCAAAGAAATTTCATCAGTTGTGTCCTTTTATCTCTCCCTTTTTTCTTTTTTTTTTCTTATTTTCATTATTTTCATTCTTTTTTCTTTTACCTATTGCTTATTTTCAAACTATTCCTTGATTTTCCAAGATAACTCACTAACA